GTTTGTGCGGGGAGAAGGGTGCAACAATGAATGAATGGAATCCCAAAATCTCTGTAGATGTTCATTGAAATGAAAAATAAACGACCTAAATTTAAAAAAAAAAAAGCACGGGTAGTTTCAGAATAAAGTAATATATTGATATTGCCACTACTGCTGCTTGCTTACAGTATTTATAAGATGAGAGTATTCGTTTCTCTCTCTTTTCCCTCTAGGAAATAGTCCTAGTTTATGATTTTACAAAAGAGTCTATGTTAGATTTTTGGGGGACACTTTGGAGGGTGCTCATGAGTAGGGACCCAGAGGCTGAACTCATCTGGAAAGGCAAGGAGAAGCTCTAAGAGCGTGGATCTCTGCTTACGGACGCCGCTGTCTCAGAAGATTGCTAATTTAACACACTCCGAGATCTTGAAATGAAGATCTGAAGATGGCAGCGGTGTATGGTGAGGCATCTCTTTAGCCTGACCCCTGGATACACTGTCTGCAGGATTGAGAAGTCGGGAATTTTTCACACCACCGCCCACAAATGCACTGCCTGCCTGGCTGTGGTTTGCAGAGGACCAGAGTGCCCTGCTCAGGGCAGCCTCTGCCTCACACATATGTAGACACACTTCATACGCTTGTTCCTGGGTGAGCCAAGCAGAGAACCATAGAGGGTCTGAAAGAACATGTCCTGGACCCCGTGCGTCCAAGTGGATCCAGCTGCCCCTCCACACAGAGAACCCACTTCCAGTACCAAGTCACCCAGTTTTTCTGGGCTCTCCTCCCTCAGAGAGGAGAGAAACAGAAGCTGAAATCCCCCTAGCCTCATCTGAGCGCTGGGCAATTGATCTCGAGGCTACTTAATTGATTATGCACATGCAGAAGTATTTTCAGTAGTAAATCACTTACATGTAAGTACGCGTCTGTTCGCACATGTGCATGTACTTTGTAGTCTGGAGGAGTTTTATGGAGGTGACTCCACGCTACGGCCTCAGGGAGGACTGAAGGGGATGTCAGGGCAGGGTGGGGTGAAAGTCAGAGAGAGCCCTGAGGCCCAGCCGACCCCCAGGGCCAGCTCTCCTTCCCAAGCCCTCACTCCCATCTTTCACTCCATCTCCGCTCCTCTTCTTTCATAAGGTCTGTTCTCGTTTTCAAGATTAAAACTTCTCCTTCTGGAAAGCGAGCCATGCCCACTCCCCACAGACCCGGATGTACCTGCAGAGGGTTCTTTGTGCTTATGGCGATGACGTGGTATTTGTAGTAGCACAGCTCACAGCTCCAGCAGCCCCGCTCGCTGATCCATTTGATGAGGCAGGGCTGGTGCGTGCACTTGACCGACCCATCACAGCGGCACGGGCTCAGCAGCTCCCCCTGCAGGAAGAAAGCAGAGGGCGCCGAAGCAAGGGCCCCTGTTAGCTAGAACATACCACCCACAACCAGGCCACACACGGGCTTTACCTGGAGAGCCCGACCTGTGAGTGGGGATCTGGGTTCCAGTGCCCCCACCATGAGCATCAAACAGCTACACTCAACTCAACTACCAGTTCTGAGTCGTCAGTTTCTACTTCGCCTAGGGCGTTTATGGACAAAATTGGCCTGAATTCTGTGAAAGCATTCTGTTGCCCAACAAGGGTGCAGGCCTGGGTGGACTTCTCTACAAAGGCTTAGTCAGGCCTCTCAAAGGCTGGGGAGACAAGTACAAGTGAAGGGAGCTGTTTGGTGGGGAGTGGGGCGAATGCCCACCTCTAACCAATCCCCAGGTTAGAAGTAACAGCCACCACCACCAACTCCAGCCAGATGCTGGCCTGTAGGCAGTCAGTCAGGTTTACAGAAAACTTCCCAATTATTCAAATGTTAACAGTGAACTCATTTCAAGGTATAATGAGGGGACCATTTGGCGCTCTGATTCCAAGCCTCTGTGGTCTGGTACAGACAGACAGTGCCCAGAAACCCAGGATCCTCTGTGAGACCTTCACCCCAGGATCCAGCTTTGCAAATGGAGGCTAGGAAGTAATAGGCCTGAACCCAGGTCTACGAGACTGGGCAGACATCCTCTTTGAAGTCCCCAGGCCTATGGCACTAGCCTTAAGCTAGGCTGGGAAGGCCAGCTAGAGATCTGGAATCAGAGGCAAGGACATGGCTGGTATCACGACTCCTGGTCTTACACAAGTGGAGTACAGAGTTGGGCTCCAACAACCATGACTGGGCTTCGTCATGACCAGGTGGGCTTCCCACCCAGCTGCCATGGTGGGCCCCACGTGCCTCCATGGTCTCACACGCTCTTCTCTTTCCTCTCCTTGCGTATCCTTGTCTCTCCCTTATCTGTTCTGTTTTTTCTCCTCCTGGCTTAGGGCTCATCCTTTTTGCTTGCCAAATCCCAACCCACATCGCTTCTTCATGGACTCTTCTAGATGTTAGCAGTTGGGTCTCTCTCAAGCTGTGTTCCCCACTGGCCTTGCCACAGCGGTTCCTCTCTGACTTGTGACACTCACACCCCACTCCAGTCACTTATTTTGGATACAACCATTTCCGTCTCACTCCAAGTGATGGAGCTGGGAGGCACCATGAGCAGCCCTGAGCCCTGATTCCCCTGCTGGTGTGGTGGGCGAATGGCCACTGAGTTATATTCCTGCTCAACTGGGGCGGCAGGAGAGGGTGTCTCTTCTCTTAGGAAACTGCTCTTTGTTTCTAACTTCAAATCAGCACGTGCAGAAGCTCCTAACCTAGAGGTTACAGATATCCATTTGCATAATTGGCCAACTCAGAGAGCAGACGAAGAAACTTACTTTAATCATGGTTTTTACTCCAAACTAGAGAGCAGCCTTTTCCCTCCAAGTTGCATTTCCTTCTCATTTCAGGTCACCCAGGGAGATCACCTTGACCTTGATAAAGTCCAAAATAGCCTTTTAAACCTGATCTACTTGTCAAGAGGAGCCCTGGTGGCACAGTGATTTGGCTGCCAACTGAAAGGTCAGTGGTTGGAATCCACCCCTTGCTCCATGAGAGAAAGATGTGTCTCCTTCCAGTCAGCTGTATGGCCTCTTCTGACCCAAAGGCGGGTCACTGTGAATGAAAATCAACTCAAAGCACAAACTTGGACTCCTTGCTGTGAAGTTGGTTCTGACTCCTGGGGATCCTCCACTGAGTCTCTCAGCCTATAAACCAAACAAGAGGAGACTGCCCATTGTTCTCCCAGGGAACCGCTAGGAGATTCAAGTAATCTGAGAACCTTAGCCTTTGGGTTAGCGGCGCAATTCCCTATAGACTATGTACGCACAAGAACTCCCTCAACTCAACAGCAGAGGCTGAACGTATGCTCAGAAGTCCCGCTCCCTGGACTTGCTAACGTAAGTAGAGTTTTGCTTTCATCTCATTAATGAGGTTGTACTCCAAGAGAGTGGCTGTTAAACCCAATCACTTCTGAGTTGTAAAAAGAACAAATCTCGTTCTGCTCTGCTTTCTTCTTCTTCCTCCTCTTCCTCTTCCTCCTCCTCCTCTTCTTCTCTCTCTCTCTCTCTCTCTCTCTCTCTCTCTCACACACACACACACACACACACACACACACACACACACACACACACACAAGAAGCCACACGGAGACACACAGGGTAGTTGCCTCTGTTAGTCCCCAAATTTCAAGTGTCAGCAGCTCTTAGAAGCTCAGATAGAAAAATTCCTTCCTTCCTCCTCCTCCTCCTTCTTCTTGTTTCTCTTCTCTTCTCTTCTCTTCTCTTCTCTTCTCTTCTCTTCTCTTCTCTTCTCTTCTCTTCTCTTCTCTTCTCTTCTCTTCTCTCTCCCTCTCCCTCTCTCTCTCTCCTCTCTCTCCTCTCTCTCTCTCAAGTGTTGGCAGCTCCTAGAAGCTCAGATAGAAAAATAAGGATCTTCTGTGAGAACCACACCCCGCAAAGAAACGGCTGGTCTCTAAGGCCACCCACTTTTGGCATATGTTGTAACGTACAACATCCCCATGTAGTTAAGATAAACGAGCAGATGAAAGCCTGAATTAAGCATCCTCTCAGGTTCTGTCTTCATATTTCCCACAATGCCCTGTGGAATAGGCTGAGCCCAGAGAACAGGAACCATAACCATCTCCCTTGCCTCAGGACCCCAGCACCTCACTCTGTGACCAGCACCCCGTGACTTTGTGTGGAAGGAACAAACGTGGTGTGGAAATGCTCAGGCCCTTTCTCAGGTGCTCTGTCCCCTGTGAAAAGGTCTATGGAGTCCCATCCTGTGCCTCCAGTCTTGACAGCCCCCTCTGCTCTGTCTCCAGGTCCCTCTCATATCTTCCTATCATATACCATGCCCCCCATTTTTCTCTAGGTTACTACTCTCTGACCCTTCTACAGGCAAGTTGGCAGTCATCTTCGTATTCCTGGGGCCAGAACAGTGCCTGGGACCGTAAAGGCTTCAGCCCAGCTCTGCCTGTGAATGCCTGCACAGCTGTTTGATAAACCAGAGACTTTACTCCTTGGGGCCACAGGCTGCCTTGGAGAGATGAGGAGAGGCGGGAAAGGGCGACGCTGCTGGGCACACACTAAGCCCAGTGAGGCCTGGGAGTAGCCTTTGTGCAGCTCTGAGACAGACAGGAGAAGGGGTGTGGCAGGGAGAAATGGTAGCAGAGGGGCAAAAAGCACTCATTATTCAAAGCAGCATTTTCTAGGCTCATTAATTCTAACAGGATGAGCTGCATTTGATTAATCGGGTTGTTAAGCAGCCATGTCAAATTGCCGATCAGGTAGGAGACATTACTTCCGGTCCCCAGCAACCATGACAAGTGACAGAGAAGAAGACTTCACTCCCTGCTACCCATGCAGCAGGGTTACTGGCCAGGGCACAACTGGTCAGACGACTTGGGCTCCAAACCGGCTGTGGGGACAACTTAGGCTCACCCTCTGACCCTCAACTGATGCATCTAGGGAATAGAGAGCAGGACCTGGCCTGGCCCATGGCCTAGCTTTGGTGGAGGGCTCTCTTGAGGCTCTTTGTCGATTCCAAATGCAACCCTGCTCACTCCCTTGGGGCTGGACAGTTCAACCTGCTGACTCAAGGACTTGCTTTGGGCACCACGACTACGTAAAAGCAAGGACATCAGTAAGGTTAAAAAAGTAGACTTCTGAGAAGAAGGGGGTGGGAAACTATCTCTGGGAAGAAGCTATTTTAACTTTGGCATCTGTGCAAGGTTTTTATTATTTAGTGGGGCTTTTTATGTGCGTTTGGGAAGAGGGATGCTCCTGGTTTTGTTAGGTGCCATCAAGTTGCCTCCAACTCTAGCGACCCTACACACAACAGAAGCTAACACTGGCTGGTCCCACACCCATCCTTGTGATTGTCGCCACGTGTGAGGCCACCGTGCAGCCACCATGTCAATCTATCCTATGGAAAGCCCTTCTCTTTCCTGCAGACCCCAGGGCATCCCCTACACCCTGTCCAAGTACACAGAGCAATTTCTAGCCATGCCCTCTTCTAAGGAACATTCTGGTTGTTCTTCTTCCAAGACAGACTTGCTCATTCTCCTGGTAGTCCATGAATATTCAATATCTGTCGCCAGTGCCTTGATTCAGAGGCATCAATAATTCTTCAAGTGTCTTTATTCCTTCTCCAGCTTTTAAATACGCATGAGGTAACGGAAAATGTCACAGATTACATACATCAGGCGCACTTTAGTCCTCAAAGTGACAGCTTTGCCTTTTTGTTTAATGTTTAGTGTTTGTTGTTATTGTTGTTATGTGCCATCGAGCTGCTTGCAACTCATAGTGACCCTGTATACAATAGCTCTGAACCCTGCTCTATCCTGTGCCAACCTCACTGTCCTTTGCATGCCTACCCCCATTACTCCAGTCACTGAATCAATTCATCTCATCGAGGGTCTTCCTCTCCTGCGCTGTCCCTCCACCCTTCCAAGCATGGCATCCCTTTCCAAGGACCGGTCCCTCCTTGCAACATGCCCAAAGTATGTCAGACGAAGCCTCAGAATCCTCGCCTCCAAGAAACAGCCTGGTTTCACCCTCTCCAGGATAAACCTGTTAATACTACCAGGAGAACAAACAAGTCTGTCCTGGAGTGAAACCAAACGGCTCCCTAGAGGCAAGGATTTTGAAGCTCCATCTCACATACTTTGGGCACACAGCCAGGAGGGACCAGTCCTTGGAGTGGGATATCATGAATGGAAGGGTGGAGGGAGATCCCAGGAAGATGGACTGACTCAGTGACTGGGGAGGTGGCCTTAGGTCTGTCAGAGATGGTGGGACCGGCTCAGGACAGGGCAGAGTTCAGAGCTAATGTACATAGGGTCACTGTAAGTTGCAGGTGACTTAGTAGCACATAAAAACTGCTACAACATACCTTTTTAAATGCTTAATCTGGACTCT